GTGTGTATCATTCTGAGCACACACGTGTGTGTGCATGTGCACTGGGGATCATTCACCTGCAGGCAGATGTGTGTCTCTGAGGGGAAGAAGGGGAGTGCTTACACACGTGTGTACCTGTGTTTGACACACGCCCTCACACAGACTCTATGTGGGCAGGGACATGTCCCATGCATCCCAGCACCCGGCCTCCTATGTGGCAGGCTCAAGTGTCTGCTCATGAACCTGTGTTATCCAGGTAGATACCTGGGGGCTGGGGGGTGGGGGCTCTAGAGTGGTGGTGGGGGACAGTAGTTAGTAAAAGAGGAAATGCAGCATGGGAGGGGAGGGTGGTGTAGGTACAGGCAGGAATAAACAAATCTCTTCTCTCCCTCCCACCCACACACACCCCCTGAGTTCTAGAAAGTTCTAAGCTCTGAAACAGGACTGAAACAATTCAGAAGGCCAATGCTTTCTAAGGTATCTGTTGGGTCCATGGGACTGTGGGACAGCAGCCTCTGGGGCCCTGATCCCCTCAGGCACAGTGAGTGCCCACATACCTGGGCACCTGGGGCAACACTGGCCCGGTCCACTCTGGGGCCTGGCACAGGTCGTGAGAGGGCAGTCAACCAAGGAGCATGTCACAGTTCCATCCTGGGAGACAGCAGGGGAGAGAGCAATGGGGGCACGCCCAGGAGGGGCTCAGCAGGGCAGCAGCAAGGCTGGGCAGCTACCTGGCAGCGGCAGACATGGCAAGGGCTGTCTGCATCCGTGAAGTTCTGCCCATTGGCATACACTTGGCCATGGTAGGTGCAGCTGTCACAGCTGGGGCAGCAGGCACCTGGGTGGGGCAGGCTGGTCAGGGTGAGCTGGGTAATGCAGGGGAAGAAAGCCAGGATCAGCCCAGGCACTCACCAGGGGGCTGGGTGGGGTGCTGGCAGGGGGCTGGGGTACAGAGTGCAGCCCCGCACTTCGGTACCCCATCTTGACAGACGCAGGTAGTGCAGGGCCGACCATCAGGCTCCCACTGGACTCCCTCAGCAAACTCCTCTCCATCCAGCACACAGGCTGTAGTAAGGGGGCTGTCACATGGCAGCCTGCACACCTCCCACTCATCCCTGTCCTTCCCAGGACACAGGGACCCCAGCTTCACCATCCCCACTGACACTGTAGAATGGCTAGTGGATGTAGCAACCCGTACGCCGTCCAGGGAAGGAGCACCCTCCATTTGCAGCCCCCGGAGGCAGCGCCCGTAGCAGCTGCTCCTCCCCTTCTCACACACACCTGGGCAGAGCTGGCGACCAGAGGCAGGCAGGGCACAGGGAGTGACTGGGCACTCCTGCTCCTCACAGGAGACCTCGCCAGCCTAGGAGGGAAGTAGGTGAGACACCCTGAAGGAATGAGGCAGATCTGGGTGTGAGCGGAGGAACCGCCTACCTGGCAGGAGCAGCGGACACAGAGGCCCCGCTCTTGGAGTCTGAAGGTCTCCTGGCTCTGATACTGGTGTCCCTGGTACTCACAGCCTGGATGGGATGACAGGGGCGTGGGGTAGTAGGACTGGAAGCAGACGGGAAGCTTCACATCACCCCAAGACGTCCAACCCCCACCCAGACAAAGAAGACCCAGCAGAGTTCTCCAGGGTGCCCTGCCAGCAGCCCCCTGCCCCCCACAGCTATGCCACAGAAGTGCAGGCCCCAGCATGGTGCCAGTTTGTCATGAGAAGGTGTGGTGAGGACTCACTTTGGGAACAGGGTAACAGGGGCTTAGGTCCAAGAGAAGCAAATCCCCCACACCTGGAGCCTCTCTGTGGCCAAGGCTGCCCCTCCCGCAGTGACTCCGGCCCCCACTCACCATCGCAGACAGGGCAGCACTGCCCAGGGATCTTGCCTGGGTGTCTGCAGGGCACCGGCGGGCAGGGCAGAGGCTCACACTGGACACTCCCGTTCTGCCAACAGGGCCTGGTCAGGACACCAGAGGCAGGCCCGGGAGCCAGGCCCTCCCTGCCAGGCAGCCACACTCACAGCGCAGCGGCAGTGCGAGCAGGGGTCCCCTGAGCCCACGGGCTCCCCGCTGCGGTGCTCCCGCCCGTTTAGGAAACAGCCTGTTGGGAAGGGGGGCCTTAGATGTTCCTCCGGGGCCCCTCCCTGCCCTCTCCTGGCCTCCATGGGCTCCCGAGCAGGGCCACCCATCAGCTTTCTCCAGGTTGCCCCCGGTGGTCAGGTCCCTGCCCTACCCACCGACTCACCATCACACACAGGGCAGCAGGTGCCTGGGAGGGGCCGGGCTGGGTACGGACACAGGCTGGCACATTCTCGCTGGCGGCACTGGATGTGACCCTCCTGGTGGGGAGAATGAATAGGGGAAGGGGCTGTCAGGGCTCAACTGAGAGGAGGAAATGGCATTAGAATCCCCGCTATCCACTTATTAGATGTTGTTATGGATTGAATTGTGTGGCCCCATCCCCAAATCCATATGTTGAACTCCTCACCCCAGTACCTCAGCCTGTTACATTATTTGGAAACAGGGTCATTGCAGACGTAATTAGTTAAGATGAGGTCATACTGGATCAGGGTGGGTCTCTAATCCAATAAAACTAGTATCTTTTTTTTTTTTTTTGAGATGGTGAAAAAGACCTTGCTGATAAAACAAGTTGCAGGTTTACAGGTTGTAAGTTGAGACAGAGTTTCACTCTTGTTGCCCAGGATGGAATGCAATGGTGTGATCTCAGCTCACTGCAACCTCTACCCCCTGAGTTCAAGCGATTCTCCTGCCTCAGCCTCCCGGGTAGCTGGGATTACAGGCACGCACCCCCATGCCCTGCTAATTTTTTATACTTTTAGCACAGACGGGGTTTCACCATGTTAGCCAGGCTGGTCTCAAACTCCTGGCCTCAGGTGATCCACATGCCTTGGTCTTCCAAAGTGCTGGGTTTACAGGCGTGAGTCACTGTGCCAGGCAGTATCCCTCTAAAAAGGGGAAATTTACACACAGACACACACACACACATACACACACAGGGAGAACGATATGGAAAAGAGAAGGCAGAGGTTCCGGTGCTGCAGAAGCCAAGGAATGCCAGTGATCGCCAGCGAACCACCAGAAGCGAGGACAGAGGCTGAAGCAGATTCCTCCTCACAGTCCCAGAAGGAACCAACCCTCCCACACCTTGGTCTCACATTTCTGGCCTCCAGAACTGAGAGACAATATATTTACATTGTTCAAGACACCTAGTAAGTGGCACTTTGTTACAGCAGCCCAAGAAACTCATACGGATACACAAACTGGCATGTCACTTAAGCTCTCTGTGACTCAGTTTACTCATCTGAAAAAAAATGGACAATAATAGTCCTGTTCTCATAGGCTTGTTGTGGGATCAAAGGAAACAAGGGATCTGGTGTCGCGCCTACCTCTAGAAGCTGGTACTTAGCATGGTGACTGCTGCCACTCCCCAACGGCCTGACTCCAAAAGACCCCATGCCTTGAATTCACACCCACATCCCTGGGCCCACTGCCTCCAGCTCCGTCAGGGTCTGAGCAGCCAATGACTTCTCATGGGTGGGGAGAGGGAGGATATGGTTGTGTCAAAGGAGTTTGAACCACAGCAACTCCATCTTGAATAGGGGCTAGGTGAAATGAGGCTGAGACCTAGTGGGCTGCATTCCCAGATGGTTAGGCATTCTAAGTCACAGGATGACATAGGAGGACGGCACAAACTACAGATCATAAAGACCTTGCTGATAAAACAGGTTGCAGCCAAAACCCACCAAAACCAAGATGGCAATGAGAGTGACCTCTGGTTGTCCTCACTGCTACACTCCCGTCGGCGCCATGACAGTTTACAAATGCCATGGCAATGGCAGGAAGTTACCCTACATGGTCTAGAAGGGGGCGTCATGAATAATCCACCCCCTGCTAAGCATATCATCAAGAAATAACCATAAAAATGGGCAACCGGCAGCCCTCAGGGCTGCTCTGTCTATGGAGTAGCCATTCTTTTACTCCTTTACTTTCCTAATAAACTTGCTTTCACTTTGCTCTATAGACTTGCCCTGAATTTTTTCTTGTGCAAGATCCAAGAACCCTCTCTTGGGGTCTGGATCAGGACCCCTTTCCTGTAACATCTTTCTGGCGACCACTGAAGGGATGATAGTGCAGTTACCCCCGACCCGCAGGCTAATTTTGGTAAGTGATGGGATCTGGTAACATCTTTCTGATGAGTCATGGAAGGAACAATACTGAAGAAATCCCCCGACCTTCTAAATAGGCTGCACCAGTGGGGTGCATATACCCAGGGAAAGAATGGGATTGGGTCAGAGGCCCCACTTAGGGGAGTTAGAGGCCTCTCTTAATAAAAGGCATGGACACTTGATGGGCCTTGGAATAGAGGCCCAACTCAGGAGGGTTAGAGTCTGTTCTAAGATTTAAACGATTAGAGGCCCCTCTGGGTAAAGTCTCTCCCAGTTAAGAATGGGTTTGGCACTACAGGATGTTAACTGCTATTCTCTTGGGATTAATCTGTCTTGTACTCACAGCTGACGGCTGTGGGTGACAGGATTAGGCAAATACAGGATCGTGGGACATGAGGAGTTTTTTCCT